CCCGCCCCGCTGACCCGGATCGCCGTCACGACACTGCATCCCGCCCCACTTACCCGGATCTCCATTGCAACACTGCATCCCGCCCCACTTACCCGGATCTCCGTCAAGACGGAGCATTTCACTAGCTTGAAGTTCTTCCCCATGTTGAAGCTGTTGCTGTGAAAACACACTTTGAGGATCCTCACTTCCTCCTTCTCCATGTCGATGGGCACTGACACCATGGTGGGGTCCAGGGTCCCACCCAGGCTCCGGAGCGAGCTCCCCCGCAGCCGGTTCAGGGTCTCCGGGATTCCCGACATCCTGAGGTGCACGGCGCTGCTAAGAGCTCAGCATCCCTCTCCTGCAGGGACAAAGACACAGGTGGATGAATGAAGGAGGAACAACCCTGGCCCAGGCTGCAGGGCTCCAGCTCAGCTGGGCTCTCAGCAACCACCCCAGGGGCCAGGTCCCCCCACAGCATATGAATTGACTTGGGGGGAGGGCGGGAGGGAGAGCTCAGCATGGGGGTGGGGGTGGAACCTGGCCTGGGGCCAGTGGGGGAGAGGCAGGGAAAAAGCACATGGGATGGTGGAGGGGCAGGGAAGGGAGAGGGCATCCAGCATGGGTGGGGAGGGGAAGCCGGCATACAAGAGAGCCCCGGAGCTCCCCCCCCAGCAGGAATCCTGCTCCCATGCCATGTTTACCGGTGGGAATTCGAACCCCCGCCCCCGGGCCTGCGCTCCAGCCACTGGTGAGAGGCTCTGCAATTCCGCCCCGCGCCGGGAGCCTGGGACGGCGGCATGGGCAAGCCAGCCTGGGAAGCAGGCGTGTGCTCCACACGGGCCTGTCGGGGCAGGCGGGCGTGACGTGGGCTCGCTCAGCCGGCAGGGCGCCGCTCCCCTGAGACGCTGCTGCCGCCCGTAGCCCAGAAACGCTGCGGCTCCCCGGCCCTGCTCGCTTCACCCGTACGGTGTAAAGGTCCCAGCTCCCCCAGGGCCTGGGCTGCGACCTGCCCCGACACACAGCATGGGGCTGGGAGTGCCAGGGTCCTGAACGGGAGCGGAGCAAGCCAGCTGGGCCTGCACCCTCCAGCACACGGCATTACAGCGGTGGGCAGAGATATAGGCGCAGTCGTGATCTGCTCCACTCGCCCGTCCCGGGGGCTGCCAGGCCGGTGTAACCTGATGGCTGCTCTGCAGCACTCTTGTTCATACGGGATCAGATCTCCCCCACCCTGGGCTTTCTTCTCTGCTCATCACTTTCCACCTTGGACCTACACACCCAGCTCCCCCCACCCTCTCCACCTGCCGGAGGCCGGATCCTTCCTGCGCTGGGAAACTACGTCCGAAAGTCTGACCCACTGTGATCCTCCCAAGTTCCCAACCTTGATTTTCTCCCCTCTTCTTTTTAGTCAGTCCAGCCCAAGCCCCCGGCTACGGCTTTGGATTTGGGGGTTTATGCGGAAGGACAAAATGGTGCATTTCCCAGCCTTCCTCAGCAACCCTACAATAAACAAGGCAGTGCGGACAGCTATGCTCTAGCAATCCACCCTACGGACGGATCACAGCCCGGCCCTCGTAAGCAACCCTAGCATGACAAAGCAGCGTGCACTGTTGTTCCTTCGTCAGCAGCCCTACAATAATAAACCAGTGTGCACCATACAGGTACAATTTTCTAAGTCTGCAGATCTGTACATCATGCACCCAGCACTATGGGCTAGGTTGTGAGCCCTTTACTGGCATGGGTGAGCAGTGTCACACGCAAATACTCTCGTGTCCTTGACGGGCATTATCTGTGTCAGCAGCTGCTTGCCAGTTCATGGGTTCTACCATCTGGTCCTCAGTGAGACTTTTCCCCTGAACAAAATCTTTGCAGTTCCCTTTATAACAAACCCCTGCAATGCCAAAGTCGATTGTGAGTCACAGCTGCCTTGATTTCTTATGACGGGGCATGGCAGAGCCAGGAAGCACACACAGATGAACAATCTCTTTCATCTCAAAATGATTCACCAACTAGACCACTGAAATGCAGCCACCTCTGGGGTGGAGGGCAGCCGCTAACTCGCACAGCAGCTGCCCAAGAGGAAAAGTTTTCCCACGACACCAGGGGAAAGTGTTTTTGTGGAATCACAGAAAGGTAGGGCTGCAAGGGACTTTGAGAGGTTATCTAATGCAGCCCCCTGCGTGGAGACAGGACCAAGTAAACCCAGACTAGGAGTTTGTCCAGCCTGTTCTTTTAATATATGGAGATATACCTATATAATAGAACTGGAAGGGACCCTGAAAGGTCATCGAGTCCAGCCCTCTGCCTTCACTAGCAGGACCAAGTACTGATTTTTGCCCCAGATCCCTAGGTGGTCCCCTCAAGGATTGAACTCACAACCCTGGATTTAAGCAGGCCAGTGCTCAAACCACTGAGATATCCCTCCCCACCAAGGTTCTTAAAAACCTCCCGTGATGGAGATTCCACAACCTCCCTTGGAAGCCTGTTCCAGAGCTTCACTCCCCTGAGAGTTAGCAAATGTTTTCCTGATGTCTAAGCTAAACCTCCCTTGGTGCAGATTAAGTCCATTACTTCTTGTCCTGCCTTCAGTGGACACGGAGAACAATTGTTCACCCCCCTCGCTATAACAGCCCTTTACACAGTTGAAGATTGTTACCAGGTCTCCCGCTCAGTCCTCTTTTCTCAAGGCAAAACATGTCCTTTTTTTTAACCTTTCCTCACAGGTCAGGTTTTCTAAACCTTGGATCATTTCTACTGCTCTTCTCTGGACTCTCTCCAATTTGTCCACTTCTTTCCTAAAGTGTCACACCCAGGACTGGACACAGTGCTCCAGCTGAGGCCTGCCCAGAGCGGGACAATTACCTCCCACGTCTTACATGCGACACTCCTGTTAATACGCCCCAGAATGATATTAGCCTTTTTCACAACTGCATCACAGTGCTGGATCATATGCAATTTGTGACCCACCATAGCCCCCCAGCCCTTTGCAGCAATATTACCTCCTAGCCAGTTATTGCTCAGTCTGGAGTTGTGCATTTGATGTTTTCTTTGTGAGTATAGCACTGTGCACCTGTCTTTATTGAATTTCATCTTGGTGACTTCAGATCAATTCTTCAATTTGTCAAGGTCGTGTCGAATTCTAATCCTGCCCGCCAAAGTGTATGCAACCTCTCCTGGCGAGGTGTCATCTGCCAATTTTATAAACCTACTCTCCACTGCATTATCCAAATCATTCATGAAAATATTAAATAGTACCAGACCCAGGACAGACCCCTGTCAGTCCTCACAAGATACGCCCTTCCAGTTTGACAGTGAACCATTGATCACCACTCTTTGAGTACAGTCTTTCAACCAGTTGTGCACCCACATCATAGTAATTTCACCTAGATCACATTTCCCTAGTTTGCTTATGAGAATGTCATGAATGATTGTGTAAAAAGCCTTACTAAATTCAAGACATATCACCTCTACTGCTTCCCCCCAGCCACTAGGCCAGTGACCCTGTCAAAGAGGGGTGGAAGAAGACACTGACAATCCCAGAGAGGCCCTGGAGACCAAGAGACCCTATAGCAGTCCATTCAGGGCGAAGCTGAAGCGCACGGAAGTGTGGAACGCTTGTCCTACAACTGCATACGCTCAGTCGCTGGGACAGCCAACCCATGACCTTTCACCAGCATCAAGGGAAACAACCCAGGCTGATGACCAGTGACCAGCTCTCGCTTGTCCTAGTTCGAATTAAAGCCAAATGTCTCAGCCTGAAACGTAAATCACCTCCGATAATGAGGCAGGAGAAGAAGGATCAATCGGCCTAGGGGGAGAACTCCCTGGAGCAGAATAAGGACTTATGAGGAGAGGCTGAGGGAACTGGGGTTATTTAGTCTGCAGAAGAGAAGAGTGAGGGGGGATTTGACAGCAGCCTTCAACTACCTGAAGGGGGGTTCCAAAGAGGATGGATCTCGGCTGTTCTCAGTGGTGGCAGATGACAGAACAAGGAGAAATGGTCTCAAGTTGCAGTGGGGGAGGTCTAGGTTGGATATTAGGAAAAACTATTTCACTAGGAGGGTGGTGAAGCACTGGAACGGGTTACCTAGGGAGGTGGTGGAATCTCCTTCCTTAGAGGTTTTTAAGGCCCGGCTTGACAAAGCCCTGGCTGGGATGATTTAGTTGGGGATTGGTCCTGCTTTGAGCAGGGGGTTGGACTAGATGACCTCCTGAGGTCTCTTCCAACCCTAATCTTCTATGATTCTAAGTGGTTGATGATTGCCATTTCCCTGACGCACAGCAGAGAGAGGGCTCAGTGACAGACGGGGATTCCTGCCAAGACTGGATTATTTGGGGGCCAGTGCAGAAGCAGGAATTAAAGCAGAATTGGGCCAATGCTACTGACAAATGATGCCCCACCATCCGCTCCAGTTTGTATTCACTGTTGGGCGATGTCCCCGCTGACATCACCCTCAGGAGCAGCCATTCAAACCAAATCTCAAATTCTTTTGCACACAGGAGAATTTGTGCCCTTATCCAACTGAGGGACAGAAAAAATACCATGTGACTCAGCTGACCAATCACAAGAGTTTAAATACTGAACATTCTGATATTGCTCACAATCGAGCCACCTTTTGAAAGGGTGAGGCTGGATTTCCACTAAGACGCATGCATTGCATTGTTCTGCAAGAGGATGGCTGAATTTCAGCTAAGGTGCATTAGTTGCATTGTTCTGCAAGGGGATGGCTGGATCCCAGCTAAGATGCATGCATTGCTTTGTTCTGCAAGGGGATGGCTGGATCCCAGCTAAGGTCCATGTTCTGCAAGGGAGTAGCTGGATTCCAGCTACCAAAGGGGGCCAAGGGGAGGGGCTACAGGTGACCAAACAGATCTTCTCCATCTTGAATACGGCACTATTCCAAGTGAAGCCTTAGCATGTGAGACTTCTGGGTTCTGATGTGTCTGAGTGCTCTGGCTAGCACACTTCGCGCATTGCTGAAGCTACGAAACCTGTGGATATGTACCTCTGTGTGAGCCTCTGTCCACAGAAACCTCACGAAGCATGTTCTGTGGCACTGAAATGGCTCCATTGCGCCCCCACCCTGTCTGGGGGAGATGGACTGGGCGAACTCCTAGGTCTTTTCCATCTCTAGTTTTTATAACAACATTACACTCCAGTGCACAGCCGCTGTCCTACCTGCCACGCCAAACCAGTTGCTGCTGTTTGTACCCTGACACTGTTCACCCCGGATGCATGCGTGATGCATGAAGGAGCTCTCGGAAAAGGACCCGTCACTGCAGGCGAAGTGGAGCCTCACACAGAGGAAACTATGGGAAGAAGGACTCCTGGGCCAAGAAAGACCAGCTGCAGTGAAG